CTCTCTCTCTCTCTCTCTCTCTCTCTCTCTCTCTCTCTCTCTCTCTCTCTCTCTCTCTCTCTCTCTCTCTCTCTCTCTCACATCCAACGAAAAAATATATATATATTCTGTTTGTGACGATATATATATGATGTGCGCACCTGGTGCGTATGCAGCCCGCCAGCGCACACCCGCGCGCAGAGCACCGGCCATGTGCGCAGTGCACCGCGCATCGCGCACCCAGGTGTGCGGCGCGCGCCGGTGTGCGCGCACCTCGGGTCCGCGCTGCGCAGCGGACAGGGCCGATGCGCCGCAAGTATGATCAGAACTAAAAACAGTTTTCCGGCGGGAGAGATCAGCGGATATACAGAGAGAAAAAGAGGCACAAAGAGAGAGAGAGAGAGAGAGAGAGAGAGAGAGAGAGAGAGAGAGAGAGAGAGAGAGAGAGAGAGAGAGATGAGACATCTCTCTCTCACACACACACACACACACCGACCAACAGGTACGTCTCCAACCCCTTGGCTTCCCTCACGCTACTTCCATTGATAGGATGGCCAAAATTGAATGAATCTACTCAGGACGACGATGGCCCGGCCCCTATATTTCCATGTTCTAGCAGTAAAGTCATTCGATTTTGCTCATCCTATCGATGGAAGTACCGTGAGGCCAGCCGCGAGGTTGGAGATTTACCTGTTCTCTCTCTCTCTCTCTCTCTCTCTCTCTCTCTCTCTCTCTCACACACACACACACACACACACACACACACGCACACACACACACACACACCAAAAAAAAAAGGAAAAAGAAGGAAAGAAAAGTGCGACGCTGGGAAAGAGCGAGGGGGCGGGGCATCATCGTCGTGAGGACATTCATTACATCGAGGTATCAGAAATCAGAACTATTTCAGGCGGGAGAGATCGACGGATATACACAGAGAGAGAGAGAGAGAGAGAGAGAGAGAGAGAGAGAGAGAGAGAGAGAGAGAGAGAGAGAGAGAGAGCATCCTCGCGTCTTCAATTCAACAGTTTCATATGTTCAGTCTGGCGGAACATTCATTCCGATTTTGCTCATCCTATCTGCACACATAACAGTTTTCGGCCGAGAGAGAGAGAGAGAGAGAGAGAGAGAGAGAGAGAGAGAGAGATCTGTCTCTCTCTCTCTCTCTCTCTCTCTCTCTCTCTCTCTCTCTCTCTCT